CCTCTGTAATGTTATTGGAAAACAAAAATTGTTTAAATAATGGAACAGACCAGATGAAATTGTGCAGTGATGCAGAAGGGGTTGAGGAAGGGTTATTCCTTTCTTTCCATTACTTTTCTCCTCCTGCCTTGCCTCCCAAACGTGGGTGGAATCTACATGTCAGGCGCTAGCGACATCAGCCTGGCCCGGTGGCTTTTCTTAATGGCAAGAATGAGATTAAATGCAATTAACATCGATTGAGCAAAAACTGCCCTCGGTTTGTATGTGGATTAATTAGCAGTCATCCTTTCAGCAGCAGCCCTTTGCAGAGCTGTGTTTGCTCCTCCTGGCTCCGCTCTTTTCTAGCACATGTCCAAAATCAAAAGCACTGAGCTTGTTCCCTACTGCGACGTCGGGGGTTACCAGCTCAGCAGGGAGATGCAGCCCCCCAGCCAGGATGATTTTTTATGCAGTCTGCTGACTGCAGAGCTGCTCAGTCAGTGGCAAAATATTTCCTGTTAAGCAAGGCTAATGACAGGAGCTCTCTGCGAGTTAGAACAATGATCAGAACAATTGTCTGGAGGAAATCAATGTTATAATGCATGAACAAACAGGTGAGTCTCAGAACAGCTGGAGATTAGTTGTGCTGGTAAATAACTGTATTCGGGTGATGCAGAGCAATGGGGAGGTGTCAAGGCAGAGCAAAGCAAGTAGTGTCTAGGCTCCTGTGAGCCAAAGGAGAGAGAGGAGGAAACCAGAAAGACTGTTTCTGTTCCTAGCACTCTGTTGGTGGGGTATGTAGACCAGGAGACTTCCACGTGAAAGCACTTTCTGGGGTGTTCTGACAATGCATCTGGTGAGTTTTTTGAAAAGCGTCTTTTCTGCTGTCAAGCCAACTTTGAAGACACCATCTGGGGAAGTAGCCAAGAAGTCATTGGGTGAACTTCCCTGCTTTGCAAAACTATTAACACCAGTGCAGAGAAGAAGGAAAACAAAACTCTCTTCATAGCTTTTTGAATTAATGTTTTCTGTTGCTGCCAGGCATGCTCCCGGCCCTCCTTATTCCAGTCCCAAGGACAGCAACTGTTGGACTCCTGAAGGATGAGAGAAACAGAGAGGCTTTTCTGTGCAATAACTATATGGCACAGAAGTGCTGTGATCCATTAGTCAGCACAGCTGCTCCACAAAATAGCCAATACTCTGAGTGTAACAGAACAAATTGCACATAACCAAAAAATACCTACAGCATACATCAAACCAAAGTGACTCAAATGTCCCTGGCAGTGCTTTGGGGTGCTAATAGCCCTGCAACAAATGCCTCATCCAGTGTAAAGGCCTTGAACACCCATCTTAGGGCAGGTCAGGATTTTTGTATTTTGTTTGTGCTACTTTCCACACTGAGATGAAAAAGTTGTGCGGTCACGTTGCCGAGGTCTGCTGTCTGCCAACAGGTATTCTGATGTTGAGAGCTGCCTGCACACGGCAGGGAACTAGGAACTATGGAGATTAATTTCTACTTTGTCACTGACACTCCAAATGCACCAAGTCATTTATCATGGGGATCTGCTTTCTGATTTCTTCATAGCTACACAGTGCCCATGTGTGTGAGCACTGCAGTGCAACTGCTTAAGGGGATGTTAAAACAAAGGCAAGGCACATGGTGGAGGAAACTTGCAGGGTTTACCCTGTGAGACTAACGGCTGGTTAAATAAATATGTCTTAACACAGCTGAGGCTTGGCAAACAGCATCTCTGGCAAACACTGAGAGAGGAAGTTCTTCAGGGTCTGGCTTTTCAAGGAGGCAGATTCCTCCTCTGGCTGAGAGCCTCCAGCAAGGCTGAGGGCTGAGGCCCAGAGCTGGCCAGTTGCTGGGGGAGGTGGAGAGGATGCTGCAGATTCACCAGGCAGCCCCGAGCTTCTGCACTGGGACGCAGACTGAGAAAGAAGGAACAGGACAGAGGAACGGGCGCATTAGAAAATCTTGCTGAAACTTGCTCGCCCTGGTGCTGGGTACCAAGGCCTCAGCTCTGTTAGAGGACAAGGACATTGGCATTGACTGGACTCCCTTCTCAGCAGGGGTGGGATTTGTGGAGCAGATCTGCTTGCAGAGCTCAGCCCTTTCTCCTCACTCAACTGGAACCAGAACTGGAAAGCTACTGGCTTTCCCACAGGGGCTGCAAAGTGGCAGGCTGTGTCAGCTAAGCAGCCCATTTTGACTGCAGTTAGCTCCTGAGCAGGGTGCCACAGTGGTGGAAGAACATGAGTTAGTGGCTTGAAGGTCCCATTTGCTGGGAGAGGCATGGAAGAAAACAAGTGCTGTATGCCCTCCAGCTGGACTTGCTGTCAGGACTGAACTGATTGCCGTTCCTATTTTTGCTTGTGAGGAATTTGCCTTTTTATGGACATTATTTTCATATGTAGAGGTGCTGGGCTGGAGCTCCTCAAGACTGGAATCTGGTCTCTACCTGGATTGCATTGGCAGTGGCATTAAAAATATCGTGCCCTCCCTATGCAAGAAGGGCACTGTTCCCTCTCATCAGACTGTGGGGGTGCAGTGCACTCTCCAAGGCTGCTCATCTCCTGACTTGTTCTTCTAAGACTGCAGCAGAGACCAGCTAATGCCAACTGTGGGGCAGTCATTTTATGAGGAGGCATCAAAACTTCTCAGTCTGAGCCTCAACTCCATTAATTGGGACTATCCTGTCATGTGAGAACAGCAATTCCAAACTGCCTGGACTTGTTGCATATTCACCTTGTCTGGTGCATATGCAATGATAAGGGCATGGAGAAGAGGTAAAGGTTCTTCCTTCCCTTTACTGGCTCCTTCTGCTCAAGGTAAGTGCTGTAGCAACCTGGTACCATCTTTCAGAGAGGATTCCAGGTTGGAACAAAATGAAGGGGTGCCAATTCTGCGCTGGCATGGTTGCAATGCTAGGGGGGTTCAAACGTGGACGAAGAGTGGGTTTAGTCTTAGAGATATGGTGTCTCTCAGCTCATCAGTTCTGGGAGGCTGGACCCATAGGCATACCTGGTATGTGGGTAGGTTAGGCTGGAAAGAATTCATTGAGGTTATGAACTGGCTGTCTTGATTTTCTCCTGAAATAAGTAAAAATATCATAGAATCAATTATATAATGGTTTCATCTGGAATGGACCTTAAAGATCATCTAGTTCCACCCCCCTGCCATGGATAGAGACACCTGCAACTAGATGAGGTTGAAATATGTAGTTATGATTTTAAACATGAAATTGTCCAACTGTGATATTCTTTAAAAGTGTTTAAAAAAAGGTTTAACCAGAACACAGAAGGGTTAACCCAAGTAGCCACAGAAGTGATGTTGGTTTTTGGTTTTTTTTTTTCACAAAATGTAGCATTCCTGGACACTTTACTGAAGTGTTACAATGTGAATACAGCAAATTACTTCATTGCAAAATTGATCCTGAATTGTTACTGCTTCATTCATTGCAATTTCAGTGAGTGCTGTTGGAGTTTTTAAAATATATTGCTCTGTGCATAACTTTTAAGTCACTAATGATGAGAAAAATTACCTGGAAAATTAGAGTCAGTAGAGTATTATTGATGGTTCATTTGTCAGATTTCTACATAACCTTTGTCTTAATAATTTGGTGAACAATTTTCTCTTTATTCTTGAGTCCTTTGAAGCTTTTCCAGTTCATTGTTGTCAGAGATGGGGCTGTCTTTGGAGATTCAAGGCCAGCATATTCAGTCTACATTGACCATATATCAGCCAATATCAGCCTGCTGTGCAGAAGCAGCCTGAATGACATCCTCACCTTCTGACAGACAGTGCTAGCATCATTGTTTTGTGATGTTTTCCATTCTGATTCACAGTGAAGAAAGCACAGCTCCTCTCCTCAGAAAAACAAATATCTGGAGAGTAGAGCTGAGCTGAAATACAGCCCTAATAAAAATGGGCAATGAGACTGTATGCAGTGAAGTGTTCAGTTGTCTTTCTCTAGTTGGCTTTAGCTGGGTCCTCTTAACATGGATCAGTACTGTCTGCTCTGCAGAAGGGACCTGCTTGTATGCAGAGCACGAGAAGGGAGTAGCCTGTTGATGGGCTTGCCCTCTGTGATTGTGCTGTTCCTGTAGCGCTGACACAACAATGCCATTGCTGCTGCAGGAGAGCTGATTGCCCACGTTGTGGAGTGGGATCCAACACTGATTTCTCAGATCTTCAGGGGGAGGGGTGTTACAGTGGTGTCATGTGTATTCTCATCTACTGCTGATGGTATTGTTGGTTTGATTTCTTTGACTTTATAGATGTGATAAGATAAAAATATGAAGAGACCACAGCAGATTTTGAAATCTCCATCCTAAAAACATTGGAAGCTTTCTGTCTTATAATCACAGCTCATATGCAGATACCTGCAGGATCTGAGGAGGTACCACTTAGTAGGTTTCTGTGGGGACAAAGCAGATGTGATTTTGCTTTGAATTTTAGGAGGGTTCAGGTCTTAATAGCATAAAGGCTGTCAGATATGTCAGGAGTTAGGGTGGTCTCTGAGTCCCCATTTTCTTCTCACTTCTCTGGTGCTCTTATATTGATCCTGTTCCAGGATGAGAGAGTGGGGGGAGTGTATGTGTCTGTGTCTATGTGTTTGATGGCAGCTAATCCAAGTGCTCCTGTGTCCTGCTGAGGCAGGACTTAGTGTGTGGCTACACTTACTCCTGTGACTTCACTGCTCCAAGGCTTACCTGGAGCCACAGCTGTTCTCTCCCACTGGAGGCCAATGGATATACAGTCCTGATCATTGCAACTGACCACGTGTTCTTGATCACAGAACCAGCCTTACCTTTGTTATCATGAGCTGATTTCTTGCTTCCACAGTCCTCTCCCCATAAATATCTTGTGTTTTACAGTAGGTGAAACATGATGATTTTTATGTGGGATTTTCACCCTGCCAATGCTACTCTTTCATTTCTGATGACAACATTCCCATGTCAAGAGCTGCATAACTAGCTTGCTGCCTTTTTCTTTTGTCTCCTTTTTTCTCCAGGAGCTGTTAGTTAATTCTGGATAAACATCATCCGCCAAAGAGCAGTGGACAAGGAGCAGAGACGCCCTTGGAAGCCCCATCATCCTGGACAGACACTGACCCAAACCAGTGCCTTCTGCCCTCCATGACCAAGACAATACAACATGATTCCTCTTCTAACTGCCTGCATGTATCAGTCTCGGTGGATGTTTCTGGAGTTGGGAGAAGGGTCCCAAGAGGGGGGGAATGCTATAATTTCTTTTCATTTTTTTGTGATGTAAAGAATTGTGCTGGTCCCAGGTGCTTTCAGCACATATTGTAGCTTGGAGTCATGCCCCAACATAAACCTGGTTCACCCAGACCCAACTTTGGTTTCACCAACCTACATCTGAGTTTCAAGAGCTGTTGCCTCTGTTTGTTTGCTCTGGAGAAGGGGTCTGAAGTATTTGGAAGTAACCCTGAGCAGCTTGTTAGGATTAACTGTTCCTAGCATGCTCCCATTGGTTATAGCAGCAAGCACATTCCTTCTCTTCCAAGGTTCCCTCCTAAACAATAAAGTGTTTAACAGTCACTGTGTGCTGTGAGATACTTTCAGTCCCATGAGTTTGTAAACTGCTGTTTTCTGCCTACTGCCAATGCCAACAAAAACTCCAAATGTGTGTGAGGAGTAGCAGTATTTCAAGTCACAGTTTATAAATCACAAAACTTGTTCGTTTTGGTCCCGGGATGACTGGCTTATTTGAAAGTACTTGGTTGCAAAGTCCTGGCTGAAGGGAACTCGTGGTAGGGAATCATACTGGAAAAACCTTTGCCTGCTGGCTGCAGAGCCCAAGTTATCTTTCTTTCCATGACCTCTTGTGTACAGTTCCTGCTGTGTCTGCCATAAACCACCATCCCTTTCATTCTTGTGCTCTATGTTGGGCCCTCTGCTTGCTGCTTGAGGAATGGAGGAATCTGGGTACACCTGGAATCTTATTCTCCTAGAGGAAGGTGTGGTGGAATTGCAAAAGGCCTGTCAGCAAACCAGAGGAGCAGGTCTAGTTTTGTAACCTGATTCCTTTTCTCTGGGTAGAGCTTCTCTGTCTGGCAGCATTAGCTTCCTCTGTCCTCTCTGACTGTATCTGACAGTTTTTGAAGAATGTGAACATGGATTTTTGGAGGTCGTGTCAGAGTTTAATGCAGTGTTTATGAAAATGGATGAGGGGGGCTGAGAATTGTTTTCTGTGTTACATTCTGCTTCGTCTCTTTTTTCTTTAGATAGAAACTTAGTGCTTTACATCTTCATTAAAGCAACAAAATGCCTTTCCTTCTTATTGAGAGCTGATGCCACAACACTTTTCATCCTCAGAAGTGATGTTTGCTTACGCATGGCTTATCTCTGTTAGCCTCAGATCTTGTGAAAATTCCAGCTCTGCATCTTTGTGTAGGTCAAACTTGCTGTCCCCCAGTGAGGAAGAGCAAGTTTTCCAAAACAAAGTAGGACAATTAGAGCCCTCAGATCTGTTGGAGCAGGACTGTGTGGGCTTTTGCTGCTGCTGCCATGCCAACTTTTGGATCTGCTTGGGCTAGCCACAGAACTTCTGACTCTGCAGGCAGAGATTTAGAGCAGCAAGGTCTGTCCCTGACTAGGTTTGAAATTATTATTGGTCTGAAGAGAAAAGTATGTATTTTGTCTCTTCCTCATTTTCCTCTTGCCCCTGTCCAGCATTGCCTTGGCATAAGTAATTTGCATCTTATTATTTCAGCTGCCCTAAATTGGGGGACACTGTCATGCCAGGGCTGATTATTTGGCGGCTCTGGGCAATTTTCTCTGTTAGGCAACTGTAATACATTTTCATGTTCTTTTATAATGAGCTTTATTTACCAAATTGGCAATTCCTCTGTTGAGAAATAACTGATTACAGCATTCAGGGAGTTGCTGTCATCTCAAGATACGCAGGTGTCTGTGGAACATAAACAGATGTGATCATTCAGACAGTGAACTCAATTGGGGTGGGGGGGAAATATCAGCCATAAAATCATAAATGTAACAGCTACAGCTAATGTTGGCCAGGTGCATTGCGGCTGTTTGCAGCCCAACAAGGACAAAGTGGCACTCGAAGGCCATCCACTGCCTCCAGATGAGGGACTGCACTGCTGGTTTGTTAGCTGAAAATACACCTCTTACCTTTCACTGCACTTCAATACTGGCTTGCCTGACTCTGTCTCCAAAAGTTTCTGAGGACAGACATTCATTTGTGGCACAGCCTTGAAATGAGAAACTCCTCTGTCCTGCTGTGTTGGGTTTAATTTTAGCTTACTCTGTGCTGGATGTCTACAAACTTCTTGGTGATCATGTCAGTGGGGACTGTGGTCCCAAATGCCTTTCAGGCAGTTCCTTTCCTTTGGTGTTTTCTAGTGCCCAGGAGCACTTCTGTTGCTGCTCTTGCCCTAATCACCAGCTCAGACATGTGAGCCTGGGGGAAAATATGATTACCAGGGATGTCAATAGGAAACTGCTGAAGATGAAGTTCAGTTGCAGAGTCTCGGCTGCTATCCAAGTAAAAATGTGCAGATAACAGAGCTTATTGAGTTGAATGTTTTCTCTTCCCCCTCATCCTCGCTGCCCCTGTAATACCAAGGCCCTTTCAAAGAGGGAAGAAGCCCTGTACCTTCTATTAGGCTCCCTCTTTGTATGTTTCTCCTTGACTGCTTGTTGGATATTCAGAGCAATTTTTTTTCTGTGCAAGATTGTGACAGCAGGTGTCAGTTGTGCTCCAGAGTGGCAGAGATCATTACTCCTGGAGCCTGGTGTCCAGTGTTGAATAGATGTCCTTTCCACACCGCTACCACCACAGCTGGCATTAATGGACAACTTAAGACAGCAGGATAAACAAGGTCTAAATCTATTGTGGAAGCTGAATTAGAGGCAGTTTCCTCCAAAGGCAACTTTGAGGTGGGGTAGAGGCAGCCATGCTGCTGTCTGTGCTGCATGTGCTGGATAGAAAGAAGCTCTTTTGTGACCAGGGATATCTGTGACCTGTTTCACCAACTAAAACCAAACCTGCCCATGGCCAGGAGCAGCTTGGGCACAAGTACTCCCTTCAGCTGAGCAGTGCATGTCCATTTTGCTTGCCTGGTTATTGCACTTCTCTGCAAACTGGATAATTCTGTGTACAAATGCATCCAGTGATTCGGATGCAATGCTCACAATTGTGGTAATTTCGTGTGAAAATACAGCTTGCAGAGTGCCTGCTTTAAGAGTATGAATTGTTTTAAAACTTGCCAGATGAATGGAAAGAACAACCTTTTTATTCATGCATAATTTCTTAGCGTTGCAGGAAGGGAAAAGAACAAAACCAGAGAAGTTAGAGAAGATACAGGAAATAACAGAACTGATAAAAATTTTCCAGTAGGCCTCAGTATCTTTGTAAATGAAACATTCAACAAGCAGCACTTTGAGATTCCAATGTGTGAGAACATCACCAGCGCTCTAAGCACCAAATTTGTGATCTTGCATAAAAACTCAACCCATTGCCTCCTGTTGTTAATATTTCACACTTGGCTTTGCAAGATGCTTTATCTAATATCCTCTCTGCATTTAGGCAGCTACCTGCTCTGCCTTGTCCATAACAGGAGAGGCGGGAGGAGGAAGGCAATTGCCAAGTGTGTCTGTAATCTATGTGGGAGGGTTTTGTGTAGCTGTAGGGGGAGAAGCGTAAGTCTCATTTCCTATTTTATAGTCTGCTGAATCCTGTGATCTCATGCTGTGTGCTCCTTTTCCAAGCAGAATTTTTCAATTTGTCTTTCAAGTTGTTGATATTTTTTTATTCCCAAACTGGTTAAAGGTGTTTGTCTGTAACTTGTTGATAAATTGTGTCTGACTCCCTCTCTGCCAGTCTTGTGTGTGTCTCCAGACCACCTTTTTCTTCTCTTGTCTTGTGCCCCCCCAGTGGGCCATTGCATCCAGCACTTAAGTGTTATCAGCCCTTTTTGGGAACCCATGGAAGCCTGAAGGGCTGTCCAGTGTCCTGTCACACGTAACTCCACATTTGCTCCCATTCATGTGGGTTTTATCCTTGTCCAAATCTGGATGTGATATTCCTGAACTGACTCACCTGCTTTGTAAACCCTATCACTCTGCTCTTGGTATGTGTTGGATTCCCCTCACTTGCCCCATTCTCTATTGCTTGGGGGAGTGAAGACTGATGAGGACTGAAGTGACTGGGCTGTATCACCTTTGAGCTGAGGCTGTTCAGGCCGGTAATGCTGCCCCTCCATCTCCCACGCTGGTGTGTAATTGTGCTGGCAGAGTAGTAGTTTTGCAGCCTGGGGCAAAGCCAGAGGAAGCAAATGGAGCAGCCACTGGTCTCAGGAGAGCTCCCTGTCAAAAGTGTGTCTTGGATTTAATGACACGTGTTCTTTCAGACTTTTTATAGAGGTCAGAGCATGGCAGGAAACTTTCCTCTGTTGTCTTCCTAGGGAGAGCAGCACACAAACTTTTCTTTCCAAGTTGAAATCAATTGTTCCCTCAGGGCTAAGTAACAAACTGCTCCTGTAGCTGATTTCCCCTTGTGAATGGCCTGAATTAGATGCTCTCCCTGGTTGCCCTCATTGGAATGGCTTGTGCTTTATCCAGCCATTTTGTTTGTGCCATTTGCTATGAGATGTTGATAGCACTTGTCTGGTTCCTGCTGCCCTGTGTTGTTCTGTATGGGAGCTATTGCATGGCAGGCCTGTTGCCCCAGGGAGTGTCAGAGAAGAGGCAGCAGGGACCTGGAATCTCATTTGGATTCCTACTTTGCTTCCTCCTTTGTTTTCAGAAAGTGTGTTTAAAAATAATTTCTGGTATCTTTGGAGCAGGTTTGCTAATTGACATGAGTTGAAACAAAGCCCTTTGGCTCACTTGGATCTTTTTGAGGAGTTAGAATCTGTTTGCCTCCTTATGGATCCCTGAAAGCTTAGTTTCAAAATCCTTTTTGAATACTGAGATGATATTGGGGTGATAGCTGCAGGGTAAATTGTCTTCATTCTCATCTAGTGCTAACATTTTTGGCAAACTGGTGCATGCAGTTCAGTCCTATACACTTCCAACTGCCTGCTCTACAGAATTTTAAAAAAGTTACCTTCAGTATTTAAGACCAGAAAACAGTTTGGAGTCACTCCAGCTGTGCCTTCTGCCTCTGTATCTGTACATGAGCAGCTCTGCTGGGGTCTCTGGGTGGGCATCTCCTTGCCAGTGAGGCAAGCTTTTGTGTTATTTAGTCCTTGAACTGTCTGAGTTAATCTCTCTAATGGCCAGCAGTGGAGGACATGAGTGACACTCCCTCAGGAGGAATGAAAAGGATGTTATTTTCCCCCTCCTGTGACCTCTTGAACATCCCACCATACCCATTTTCTTGGTGGTGGAGTCCATCGTCATAATGAGTTTGGTTTTTATTTTCTGTGAATGGGGAGTGCCACTGTAAGTCAGGATTAGCTAAACATAACATTAAAAATAAAGCACGGCTATTAATTTAATGGGTTCCTCATTACAACCATCATAAAACAAGTAAACAGGAACTCTGCCAGTGCTGCCTGCAGTCCTCCTCC